CAGGCAGATCGAGCGCCGCCAACGTCTTCCCCTCCCCCCCTCCCCCTGAGACGTCGAAGAGGAAATATCCTCACGTCTCCCCGCCCCCCTTCAACTCTTGTTTCTGTGGAGGGGGGGGCAAAGCGAAGTGTGTGTGTATTGGAGGGGGGCGCCGCCTCTGAAGGCGACGCGAAGCCCTTCCTTGCGGCGTCCGCGACGTCGAAGGTGGCTGCCCGGCAACCGCCACCTCAGGCGGGGAGGGGGAGGGGGGGCGGCAGCCCGTCAGTCAGTCAGTCAGCCGGGCCGTCAAGTCACGTGCAACACCCTCTGAGGCAGAGCCGACGCTACCTCCCTCCCCCTCCCCCAACCCCCTCCAACTTCCTGGCTCGCGGCCGGGCCTGAGGGGACCGAGAGAAGGGAGAAGCGGCCCCAGGCCCTCCCCCCCCCTCCCGTGTGACACCATAGACGCACATGTATGCCACACGCGGGCGCGCGCGCTCTCTCAGACACATACACACACAGAGGGAGAGAAACCTAAAGCCCCGCGCGCGCGCGCGCCTGTCCGCCCTGCTTTCTCGCTCCTCCGTCTTCCCTCAGCAGCAGCTGGAGGAGCTGTCAAAACTTCCATCTCCACCCGCCCGTCCGCCGCCGCCGCCGCCTCCACTTCCCGCGAGGGCGGGGGGAAAAGGGGGAGGAAGGGCGCCCGGCCAACGTTACAAGGAAGCGGCGGAACTCCACAGCCTGAGCGCAGCTCTCGGAGGCCGCGTCGCCCGCCCGCGAGCGAGCGCGCCCCAGAGGAGAAGGCGTCGGCCGTGTGCCCCCCCCCGTTCCGTTCCCCTCCCCTCCGTCCTCCGAGCCTCTCCGAGGGGGTCTAATTGCGGTGTGGCTGAGGCGGGCCCTCCTCTCCTCCTCCCCATGCGGCTACCTGCGCGCTGGTCCGCGGCGGCTGAGGCCAGCGATGCGAGGCGGAGGTAGAGGAGGAGGCGCAGGAGGCGGTCGTGGTGGTGGCCGAGGAGGACCCGCAGGAGAAGGGGAGCCGCAGCAGCCTCCGCCGCTGCTGCTGCCGTGGCCGTTGGAGCAGGAGGAGCGTCGCCCTCGTCCTGCCGCCGCACTCTCGCCGTCCCCGCTCGCCGCCCTCCATGCTTCTCCCCCGTCCGGCTGACCAGGATGTCAACCGAGCAGCAGAGCCTGACGCCGCCGCCGCTCCGAGAGCCGGGGGTTTCCCCCACGGCCGCGGCCGCCGCGACAGACAAAAGACCGAGGGGCCGGCCTCGTAAAGATGGCGCTTCCCCTTTCCAGAGAGTCAGGAAGAAGTAAGTTCCGTGCGGGCGTCGCTGCGAGTCGGAGGAAGCCCGGAGGAGCGGTGTCAGCCCCGCCGGGGCGTCCGCCCTCCGCTCGGTACTCCGGTTTGCCGTGTCGCCAGCCCCCCTGCTTTCCTGCCGTTTCTTCCTCACCTGTGCCCTTTTGCCCTGCCCCGCTCCCCCCTTCTTTTGTTTTTGTCCTTTCCGTTCCCCAGTCCCAGCGCCCTGTTGGGAATGGCCCTCACCTTTCCCTCCTCTCCCCTTCTCCTTCTCCCCCCTTTGTCACTGTCCTCCCCACCTTCATTTCAACTTCCATTCCCCTTTCTCTCCCCCTCTTCTTTGGCACTGAGAAGAGCTTCCCTGACCCTTTTTTTTTCCTCCTATCACTTTCTTTTTCTTCGTTTGTCACCCGCCTCTATTTTAATCTTTCTTTAATTACTTCTAGCTTCACTCGCCCACACATCCCTATTTTTAAAATTCCCAATAATCTCTCTTTAAAAAATAAAATAAACTTATTTTGGAGTTATTCTCCCAGAAGGGGATTACTTCCCTTCCACCCTTTCTGTGGTGTACATTGCAAATCCACCAACCTTAGGCATGTAATTGTGTAATGGGAAGCTCCTCCCCAGGAGCTGTCAAAAGGCACAGCGAGGGGTATACACAACTAGCGGAGAATGGCTGGTGGAAAGCCTGGGTTGTTTTGGCTTTGTTTCTGGATTCTGCCATATTTTTCTACTTGAATCCCAAGAGTTAATGTGCTGAAATCAAACTTGTGTCTCATTCTTGCAACACTAGTTGATGTAAATGTGGAGCATCCTGTACTTTGTATTTGGCAGTGGATCAGGTGGTTTGGGTTTGCCAGGAAATAGAGAATACAAATATATTTTGTATAAAGGTTCATGACTGCTGTAATATTGCTCTCTATATTACGTTAATTCGGGCTCACATAATTCACGGATTAAGATGCTTTCCTGTTCATTTTAGAAGAGTGTAATTTACCACCACCCTCTACACAATCCCATAAGAGCAACGATTTTCTTCGGACAACTAGCAAACTTTGGAAAATAACTAGTTCACATTTTTATCCCAAACAAAAATCAGTGTGCTGTGCTTGCTTTCAAAAGTTCAGAAATGGAAAAGCTACATAGGAAACCTTATAAACCATTTTTGTATTTCCCTACATAATGTTGCCTTTTATATTGCTGTTTAATAATCTATTCGGTTCATGTGATACTGAGTAAAACAAGCTTTTATCCTCAAGCAAAATTCAGACCTACGTATTTTTCATGCAAAAAAGCGTCTACATAGTGACAGTGTCTTTTTACACCTTCCCTGATTCCAGCATATTACAAAATGTTTAGAAGACACTGTATCTTTGGTCAAGGAAGGCATTTAGTCTGTCAATTGATTTTCAAAACACCACAGTACCACTCAGTTTTTCCCTGTCTGGTGTTCTTCACAGTCATTATGGCTAAAAGTTCTGAATACCATGGTTCCAGCAAAAATGGAGAACAGACTGGATACATTTTTCTATAGTTGGGTATTTGACCTGAAAAGTTTCTAATATCTCATCTGCTAGGTGGTAAAACAATGATGCAAGAGAGAAGTTGTATCCTTCTATGACTGTGAAATGGCTTGCATGTATATAGCATGCATAGAAAAACCTATGGAAATTGCTGTATAAGACAATTCATTCAGCAGATTTGTATTTTTAAAGTAGTGCTTTAAATTAAAATGTGTATAAAATTTCATAATACATTCAAGTTGATTACATTACCATTATAATTGCATATTCATAGTTTTAATTTCTTATTAAGTATTTTGCTAAAATGCTTTTCTTTTTTGGATTAGATTGTATATGAAGTTAGTTGTAACATGCATTTCTCTCTTTGCACTGCTAATTAGTTTCATGTAGCATATTGATCTTTTTCCTTAAGAGCTAATATTTTTAGATGGTGGCCATAGGTTGTTTCAAGAATTCATACAACAGCAACAATTGGAAAAATTAGTGATAATTTAAATTCAGAACAGATTCACAGTAATCATTACATTGATAGTGTCTTTTGGAAATAACACGTTATTTTTCCCTCTGTTTCTACCAGGTTTGCAAAGTAGATCCAGATAAAGTACTTTTGCTAGTACATCTTATGCATTTCTACTTGCTATTTGAACTATTGCTTAATTTCTCTGATTGCTTGCCACTCCCTTTCTTAATACAGCTATTTTATTTAGTTTGACATGTGGGTTACACATTTTATTGAATGATACCATCAGTGACCTTTTCATCATAAAATACATCTTCCTGTGGAACAGAAAGTGTATTTTTAAAAGTATTTTTCCTTTTGCAGCAAACTTCTGGAATACATCTGGGAATGGGAACTATAAAGGCTATGGATCACAGAAATGTATTTAACTATTCCTTATGTGGCTAACATTTACATTCCTACACCAAAACAAGACTTGTTAAATCTTACCTAGTATGTTTTCAGTATCTCAAGTATGATGGCATATATGTAATGCATCATTGCTTAAAACTAAGTCCTATTGTAATCAGTAAGATTCAGAGGTGGTATTCAGCAGGTTCTGATCAGTTCTGGAGAACTGGTTACGGAAATTTTGAATAGTCCAGAGAATTGATAAATACCACCTCTGAATCTTACTGATTACAATAGGACTTAGTTTTAAGCAATGATGCATTACATATA